TACTGCAACCTGTTTCATCAGCAAGGTCTTTATGATGTGTATCTTGTGCTGACCTCCTTAGGATCTCATCTTGTTACTTAGAATTCCTAACTGTCTGGTAATGCAGCCCAGTAGGTCTCAGCCTTATTTTACCCAGCCCCTATTCAAGATGGAATTACTCTGGTCCAAACGCCTCTGACAATAAGATGCCAAATTCCAGCCTGATTCTAGTATAGTATCACATGACAGACAGTAGACCCTGAAAGAAATTATTTTACCCCAAAATATATTTTTCTTTTCTTTTTCTTTTTTCTTTTTTTTTAAGAAGCAAATGAAGCACAAAATTTATTGTGTGTTTTTTGTTGTTGTTGTTGTTGAGACGGAGTCTCACTCTGTTGCCCAGGCTGGAGTCCAGTGTTGCAATCTCGGCTCACTGTAAGCTCCATCTCCCAGGTTCACGTCATTCTCCTGCCTCAAGTAGCTGGGACTACAGGTGCCTGCTATCACGCCAGGCTACTTTTTTGTATTTTTAGTGAAGATGGGGTTTCATCGTGTTAGCCAGGATGGTCTCGATCTCCTGACTTTGTGATCCACCCGCCTCGGCCTCCCAAAGTGCTGGCATTACAGGCGTGAACCACCGCGCCTGGCCCGCAAAATTTATTTTAAAAGATGCTGCAAATTCACTCATCTGCTCTAAATAACTCCTGTCCTTTGGGATCCCGTTATAGGCAATGTACACAAGACTTTACCAGTGCAATATATATATTTTCAGTAGCTCTTTGGGAAACAGGTGGTGTTTGCTTACATGAATAAGTTCTTTATGGTGATTTCTGAGATTCTGGTACACCCATCATGCAAGCAGTGTACATTGCACCTAATTTATAGTCTTTTATCCCTTACCCCACCCCACCCTTTCCCCTGAGTCCCCAAAGTCCATTGTATCATTCTTACGCCTTTGTGTCCTCATAACTTAGCTCTCACCAAAATCTATTTCTTTGACATATTTTGAAATGGCCCTGCAGAGCTGTCTCTTGTGGGGAAGATCTACATTCTGTAGAGAATTCCCATTCCTTCCCAGGTCTCTTCCCTTATCCGGGAGAGAACTAGGAGTCCAGTACCTTTTTAGGTCTGATAAGAGCTCTGAAGTCTGCTACCTGGAGGCTTCACCTGCATAATAAAACCTTGATCTCCATAACTTTTTATCTTAACCCAGACAGATCTTTCAATTGGTTCCAGGTCTTAGATAATAACTCTTTTAACCTATTGCCAATCAGAAAACCTTTGAATCTGCCTATGACCTGGAAGCCCCTCCACCCCCGCTTCAAGTTGCCCGGCATTTCAGCTGAACCAATGTTCATCTCACATGTATTGATTGATGTCTGATGTCTCCCTGAAATGATTAAAACCAAGCCATAGCCCAACCACTTTGGGCACATGTTGTCAGGATCTTCTGGGGCTGTGTCAGGGGACCTTGGTCACTCATATTTGGCTCAGAAGAAATCTCTTCAAATATTTTACAGAGTTTAACTCTTTTCATTGACAGAGCCTTAGAATTTAGGGTGGGAAGACCCAGAACTTGCAAGTTGATGTGAGGAAGAGCAGAGAGAAGAGGATTGCCTCTTCTGCTAATGAAGATGGAATGCCAGTTGCTTGCAGGATGTAGGGTACATGGAGGGTGGGAAAACCAGAGCCAAGTAGGGCTTCCCTCTCTCCAGGCAAGTAGTAGCAAAGTGGAGATCAGAGGGGAAGAAGGGAAGAAGCTGTTAATGAACTGCGTTTCTTCTTCCCCTCGGAGCAGCCCGAGTAGAGAAACTCTACACTTTGTGCATCCTTGGATGAGTAGAGGAGGAAGTTTTAGCAAACTGGAAGTTAATTTCTCCTAAGGAAACTCCACCAATTTATGATTTATTTTTATTATTATTATTATTTTTTTTGAGAGACAGAGTTTTGCTCTGTCACCCCAGGCTGGAGTGCAATGGTGCGATCTCATCTCACTGTAACCTCCACCTCCTAGGTTCAAGTGATTCTCCTCCCTCAGCCTCCTGAGTAGCTGGAATTACAGGCATGTGCCACCACACCCAGCTAGTTTTATATTTTTAGAAGAGACACGGTTTCACCATGTTGGTCAGGCTGGTCTTGAACTCCTGACCTCGGATGATCCGCCTGCTTTGGCCTCCCAAAGTGTTAGGATTACAGGTGTGAGCCACTGTGCCCAGCTCACATTATGATTTTGAAAGCTGTTGCAGTACCAGGAAAAAAAAAAAAAACAAGGCAACAGAACTTTCATCTCCATTAGAAAGACAGCAAAACCAGAAAGTATAGCTTTCAAGCACAAAAATTCCTCGCCCAGCCAGTAATCTGGGAAATATTGATATTTGTTTTCCTCACCTCAACCCCAAAATGACATGTAGGAACAGGTGTTTAAGTTTTTAGATAAATAAAGAATTAGTGAAGAAATTCTGGTTGGTCGCGGTGGCTCATGCCTATAATCCCAGCACTTTGGGAGGCCGAGGCAGGCGGATCACTAGATCAGGAGATCGAGACCATCCTGGCTCACATGGTGAAACCCGATTTCTACTAAAAATACAAAAAATTAGCCGGGCGCGGTGGTGGGCACCTGTAGTCTCAGCTACTCGGGAGGCTGAGGCAGGAGAATCGCTTGAACCCAGGAGTTTGAGGTTGCAGTGAGCCAAGATCATGCCACTGCACTCCAGCCTGGGTGACAGAGCGAGACTCTGTCTCAAAAAAAAAAAAAAAAAAAAGAAGAAGAAGAAAGAAAAAAAGAAAGAAAGAAATTCCACCTCTCCCAGCCACATAGTAGGCCTGAACTCAGAAGTCCTCCTTAAGTGTCAGATGCCTAAATGAGAACAGTAAGGACTCCAGCGCGCTTCTCCTTTGATGCAGAATGTGGCTGGAGGTCTTGGGCAGTGTGATTTTATTTCTTCACCATGAAGTTTGGGAATATATAATCTTTAAGGGATGACCCTTGAGTAATTCAGGGAACAGCAGAGGCATGGGGCTATGGGCTGAGGCCAAAGGTCTGACTTATCCTTAGGGCATCGTAGCTGGGGATATTTCACCCCTTCCTGACCTAGGTCCTGCTTCCACTGGAGGGAGGCCTCTTTGCCATTGTGTACATGGCTGGCTGTCACTGGACTCACTCTGGTCCCTCCCCCGACATTCTCAAGCAGGGGTTCCCTACAAATGATTCGCATGACTATTTTCTCAATTTTCAAAGGGATAGTATCTAACTAGTAACATTCTAATTGCATAGAAATAAGTTAATTTATGACACAAAGGATACTTTATGGCATGGAGGCTTAATTCTTGTGGAACTTCAGTTGAGGACTGGAATAGATACTTTGCCTCAACTGAAAATAGACCTTTGGTCTGAACAAAAAAGCCCTTCACATTCTGCTCAACCAAATTGCTTCCCCAGCCTCCTCAAAACCTTTCCTAATATGTATTACCTCCTGGAAATATTTTCTTTCTTAAACACATGATTCCAACCTAGACCCTCTGCAGTGGGGATCGCCGGATGAAAGGGATGAGAGAAAACAGGAAAGCCTTGGAGTCAGACAGACCTGGTTCAAATCCTAGCTCTGTCGCTTACCAGCTGCATGACTTGGGACAACTTGTGAACTTCAACTTCCTCATTTGTAAAATGAAGATTAAAAGAGATAAGGCACTGAGTTCAGTGCCTGTTGCATAGAAGGCTGTTTTAGTAATCTATGATTATATAGCAAACCACTTCAAAATTTAGTGGCTTGAAACAACAGCCACTATTTATTTGCTCATGAGTTTACAATGTGGGCAGGGCTCTCCAGGGGTGATTTGTCTCTACAAGGTGCTCGACTGGGGCTCTGGGGTCCAAGGTGGCCACATGTGTCTGGGGCCAGGGTGCTGGCTGTCAGTGGGGATGCTTGGTTGTCCTCCACGTGGCCTCTCATCATTCAGTAATGTAGCCTGAGATCCTTTACATGGGAGCTGACTTCTAAGAGGAAAAGTAGAAACTATGGTACCTCTTAAGGCCCAGGCCTGGACTGGCACCTCTTCACTTCTGCTACATTCTTTCGGTCAAAGCAAGTCACATGATTCAACGGAAGGGGAAACAGACTCCAACTCCTGATGAGAGGAGCAGCATGCTCATACAAAGACAGGAGGAACTGTTATCATCTTCTGTAGATTCTATCACAGAACACCTTCCATATCTTATTTGCCATCAGAATGAAAACAAAGATAATCAAGGGAACCTCACCTTTATTCTTTCCTGGGTTTAATGAGACTCTGCTCCAATTTCTTTTTTCTTTTTTTTTTTTTTTGAGCTGAGTCTCGCTCTGTTGCCCAGGCTGGAGTGCAGTGGCATGATCTCGGCTCACTGCAAGCTCCAGCTCCTGGGTTCAAGCGATTCTCCTCCCTCAGCCTCCTGAGTAGCTAGGATGAGAGGCGCCCACCACCACACCTGTGCAATTTTTTTGTATTTTTAGTAGAGACAGGTTTTCACCGTGTTGGCCAGGCTGGTTTTGAACTCTTAACCTTAAGTGATCCACCTGCCTCGGCCTCACAAAGTGCTGGGATTATGGGCGTGAGCCACAATGCCCAGCCTAATTTTTGTATTTTTGTATTTTTTTTTTTTTTTTTTTTTTGAGACAGAGTCTCGCTCTGTCGCCTAGGCTGGAGTGCAGTGGCATGATCTCGGCTCACTGCAAGCCCCGCCTCCCGGGTTCACGCCATTCTCCCGGCTCAGCCTTCTGAGTAGCTGGGACTACAGGCACCCGCCACCACACCCGGCTAGTTTTTTTTGTATTTTTAGTAGAGAGGGGGTTTCACCGTGTTAGCCAGGATGGTCTCGATCTCCTGACCTCGTGACCCACCTGCCTCGGCCTCCCAAAGTGCTGGGATTACAGGCGTGAGCCACCGCGCCCAGCCTAATTTTTATATTTTTATAGAGATGGGGTTTCACCATATTGGCCGGGCTGGTCTCGAACTCCTGAACTCAAGTGATCCATCTGCCTCAGCCTCCCACAGTTCTAGGATTACAGGTATGAGCCACAGTGCCCAACCCTCTAATTTCTTGAGTATCATTCCAGCCCTCAGGTCTTGGGGCTCTGTCTATAATTAGCTATGTTCATACTTGTGTTCTGCTGTTTGCCTCTTTTTGGTAGATGTGTGTCCTGTTATCCCAACTTAAATTGGAAAGCCCATAGAGGCAGAGAGCAAGTCACCTTCGGCATCTCTTTCCAGCACTTAGTACTGTAGAGAGTTGAATTCAGTTGTGTCGTAGACGTCTAGGGAAAAGAACAGCATTAAAAACCTCTGTGGAAGAGAATGTGGATATGGGAAGAGAAAGGGGAGTCTTAAGGCCCTGTGATTCCTTACAGCATGGCTAAAGGATGGCAACTTTCCATATGTTTCATAGAAAGTCTCAAATACAGGAACATTTAGGCACTGGGGAGCCACACATTTATTTAGATGAATCCAAACCAGACATGGTGCCGAAGCTCCTTGACACAATCTCACCACTGGCGGGCTTCCTGGAGGCACTGAAAAGAAATAGCACTTTGTAGCCGTGACAGCAAATGGCCAGAGGACACCAGGCTGCTGAGGGCACCATTCTCACGGACCCTGGCTCCTGTGCCATGAATTCACTTCATTGCCGGGCACTGGCTGTGAGAGAGGGAAAGGGGCAACTAACACGAATGCAAGTATCATTAACACAGAGAGGGAGGGGAGAGAGGGAGAGCTGTCTCTGCAAGCCGACTGTCGGAGAGCGCTTTCCTGAGAAGCCTGTACTTGTAATGCATCCCTTTGGGCTTTCATTTGCTACACACCAGTGAGAGCCTTAAATAAATGTCTTATGGGATCAAATTCATTCCCAATTTCTATCAGCCAGCAGCTACAAGTCAGAGAGGACACTGGGAACTTGTTCTCTTTAGTTCTGTCTCAAGCTTCTTTTTCACCTTATGCATCAATTTGTACACAGCATACCTACTGTGAATGACAGAAAATCTAAAGGAGCTGTCAAGTTCTAAATGATGAGCTGAGTTGCCTTTTGCCAATAATGTGCTGCTTGGGACCACACACCTAAAGGTTAAATTATAATTGACATAAATGAGAAGGAGGATTTTCTTCTCTTGGAAGGGAAGGAATCTATAAGCTTCAAAGTAAAAAAAAAAACAAACATATTAATCCGTTTTTTACCATGCTTATGATCCTGAGGTGTTTACTCACTCAGCAGGAGCAGCCTCCCCTGTCCTTATGTACCCCACAGGCATAAGGTGCTGTGACTCTTGTGGGTTCCTGCACTCCGAATTGTTCCCTTGACATCTTTTCCTACAACACCTGCCCAGCTCCCTCCCCTAGAACCTCCTTATGATTAGGTGGATGCTGTCACTCTTCTTCAGAGGACCATTAGGTTTAATTTCTACCATCAACTTGAGAAGTTCAGATGGAGAGAGGATATGACAAAAGCAGACTGCATCTAGTATACATTCTCTCCACAGGGATGACAGTATTCGCTTTTAAAAACAGGCCGAGCGCGGTGGCTCATGTCTGTAATCTCAGCACTTTGGGAGGCCAAGGCGGGCGGATCATGGTCAGGAGATTGAGACCATCCTGGCTAACATGGTGAAATCCCGTCTCTACTAAAAAAAAAAAATAGCTGGGTGTGGTGGCAGGCACCTGTAGTCCCAGCTACTCAGGAGACTGAAGCACAAGAATCGTTTGAACCCAGGAGGCAGAGGTTGCAGTGAGCCGAGATGGCCCCACTGCACTCCAGCCTGGGCAACAGAGCAAGATCTCATCTCAAAAAACAAAACAAAACAAAACAAAAAAAAATGGTTACAACAAAAGTGGTCACTAGTGGATACATGACTGGAAGGCTCAGAAATGCACCTCTGTCCCTGACTCAACAACACTAGCCATAAACAGGAACTAATCCACTGACACATCTTGCCTCTCTTTACTTACCTTTGTCAGAGTACCACGTCTTCTTAGGTGTCCTCAATTAGGAACTGCAATAATTCGGACATTTATCAGTGTTAACATCTCAGAAATCTCTGAGAAACCTTCTTTCAGAGCATTAGCATCAGAAATAGAAATATTCTATTTCAGGTTTTTGGGGAGTCAATGGTGCTAATTAGGTAGTCTATACATAGAGAAGAACAGGACATGTAAGGGCTCATTCATTCTCGATTCATGCAACAAACATTTAGAGTGCCTACTGTGTGTCAGAAACTGGGCTAGACACTGTGGGGACAAACGCAAATAAGACACTGTCCCTGCCCTCAAAATGCTTATAATTTAATAGGAAAACATCTATAAATAGAAAATTATAAAACAGTATGTTAAACACAATGATAGAGATCTGAACAAGGTGACGGGTATAGATAAGTGATTAAATACTTTAAGGAAGTAGAGAGGATATGCAATATTACCTGTAAACAAACAAGAGGGGAAAGTGAAATAGAGCCCGACAAACAGCTGCAGCTTTCCTAGGCTGAGTCAGAAGATTGCACAGCATAAAGAAAAATGAGCTGAGTGAGGACCGGGAGACCTGGGTTCTTTCCACCAGTGCCAGGTGGTCAATTAACTGACACTGGAAATCATGGGCAAACCAGTTCCCCCCCTGTACTTTCGTCTTCTCTTTTGCAAAATGGAAATAACAATTCTTCCTGTATTATTGAATTGCGATGGAGAGAAATGAGATTGTAGATAATTAAAATGTCTCCTCCAAGACATCCTGATGATGACAGTGATGAGAGGGTCCGACCAAGGAGCCCCTTCTCCACCTAGGCTTGCGTCTCTGGCCCCTGACTCTTCCACCGGTGGAGAGAGGAGGTGGCTGGCAACCTAAGGCACTAGTTCTCCTCTTGCCCTTACCTTTCACATCCACCCGACAGTCCACAGATGCCTCCCCTAGGGGGTTCACCGCCTTGCAGGTATAGATGCCTCCATCAAAGGGACCAGGCTTGCGGATCTCTAGGGAGCAGATTCCCAGGTGCGTCAGGGCTCTGTACTTAGGGTTGCCTTGGATATCCATCTTGTTCTTCAGCCAGATGATCTTGGGCTGAAAGACAAAGATGAGGGAGGCAGCAAGGAGGGGCGGGGGTAAGAACCAATAGTCTTTCTGTGCTCAGTTTCTGGGACTCTGTCTACATAGAGATAATGGCTTTCTGGAAGGCTCCCTGTTCCTTATGTTGTGGGAAGGGGTTCCCCTTCCAGTACCTTCAGTAGTCGCCCAAGCTCCTTCTCTTGGTTGAAAATATAGCACCTGAAACTTCACTTTCTTCGCCAATATTTCTGACTGGAAGAAAACTGCTAACTTCTGTACCGTGCTCTCAGGATCCGAAGCACTGAGCATCAGGCTCACCTGCTGTGAACCATTCGTATTCTGTTCCCACTGCTGACTTGTGAGTTGCCTCTGTTCCCTCTGGTTAGAGAGTAGCTTCTAGAGTGGGCTCTTGATATCCCCCTTCTGAGATGTTATCTCCATGTAGTCTGGCCCAGACTCAAAACCCAAAAGGTTCTTGGTACAGGTTATTAATGGTGTTTTATGCTGCGTGTGGAGCACGACGACTAGATTGTAAATAGAGAGCATTGTTCAGGATTGTGGCCAAAGGCTGAACTCTAGGCAGCTTGCATGTGCACGGCCCTGATGGGATGAGGTATGGATGGGAAGGAGAAACCACCAGGACTCCGTCACTCCTACCAGACACACAACTTGAAGCGCATGCCTAATTGCCAGCAGGTCAGTAAGCAGCATTTTCATATATGAGAAACAAACACTCAAAAGGAAATGTCATTCTCATTAGTCTGTCTTGGACTCCAAGCACCCCGACTGTTCCTAAATACCGCGCTGTTGAAGAGGCAAATGGCGGTGATGGTAACAGATGTTATGTTACAATGCTCTGCAACTCAGCTTAGGTTAGAAGAGGCAGGAACAGAAAGCAGCTCAGCACAGCACCCCCAAGAGCCCCCACTCACCCGGGGAAAGGCACGGACACAGCAGAAGAGCTGGGTGTTATAGCCGGTGACTGTAGTGCAGTCGGCCAGAGGCTGGGTAAACTTTGGGGCTTCAGAGAAATCTCGTTGGGCAAACCCCTTGATCTTGTAAACAGTAGCTGAGGGTACCAAGAGGGGCTGGGATATAGCTTCTGAGACCCCAGCCCTCATCGACTCGTTATCCTTAGCCTTTTCTTTCTTTCTTTTTTTTTTTTTTTTTAGATGGAGTTTCACTCTGTTGCCCAGGCTGGAGTGCAGTGGCTCTATCTCGGCTCACTGCAACCTCCACCTCCCGAATTCAAGCAATTCTCCTGCCTCAGCCTCCTGAGTAGCTGGGATTACAGGAGTGCGCCACCATGCCTTGCTAATTTTTGTATTTTTAGTAGAGACGAGGTTTCACCATGTTGGCCAGGATGGTCTCGAACTCCTGACCTCAAGTGATCTGCCTGTCTTGGCCTCCCAAAGTGCTGGAGTTACAGGCGTGAGCCACTGCACCCGGCCTATCCTTAAGTCTTCCCAGCTCATGGTCCCTGTGCCTCCCTTACCTGCTTTCTGGATGTGGGCGAGGTCCGTGGTGATGGGGGCTGTTTCACTGAGTCCGCATTGGTTTTCAGCAAAGACACGGAAGGCATAGGAGTTGCCGATGATGAGGTCGGAGACGATGCAGCTGGTGCGGTGATAGTGCTCCAGCACCGTGAACCACAGCTGCGGGGCCGAACATGATGCCGGAAGTCAGCCACTCCATGTGGAACTACCAGAGGCCTGTCCCAGCATGCCCTCTTCCACCCTCCTTCCTCCCCAGCTGGCCTCACCCCAGATTTTGTGTCAGCCTTCTGCACCGTGTATCCCAGGAGTGCTGTATTCCCCGTATCTTGGGGAGGTGTCCATTCCAGGGTCGCGTTGAAGCCCCAAACGTCCACCAGCTTAATACTCTGAGGAGGGCCTGGCCTCTCTGAAAGGGCAAAGCCATGGCAGTGGGCGCGGCACAGCCCACATGCATTGAAGTCACTTCAGGAGTGCCCCAGCCCCTTTTCCTGCTCAGCTACCCTTCCTGTGCCCACCCTGTGTCCCAGACATGACGTGGGGGCCTTGCCCCAGCTTCCTCAGCTCTCTGAGCTGGCTCCTCTTCAGCCTGGAGAGGGAGTTCTTGAGGAACCCCCATCTCCCACTCCCCGTCCCCCCCGCCGTACCAATCACCAGGATGTCAATGGTGGCGGTGGCCTCCAGCCCGCCCAGCTGCACACGGAGTTGGTAGCGACCTGAGTCAGCACGTTGGGCTTCTCGGATGAAGAGGATGGAGTCTCGCTCCCCATTCCGCACACTCACACGGCTGGTGTCCAAGGCACAGCCATCGTGTGTCCAGATGGCTTGAGGTTTGGGCTTGCCCTGAGGAATGAGGGTAAGGCTTTGAGCAGCCCTGAGAGGCTTCCTGACTATCCCTGCTGCTGTAGGGGTCCCGTCCACCCCAGGTCCACAGGGAGGCTTGACTTGGAGCTGCACATTCCTTGAGTTAGAAGTTGGTCGACCCTCCCGGGGGCCTCCTCCTTTCAGCAACAACCTAAGGATCTTGGGAAAGGGGGATGGCTTTGAGTCTCCCAACCTCTGAGAGCTTAGGTCATGAACACCCGGGGCAGCTGTGACCCAACTGAATAGCCACTCAAACTGCCAAGAACCCTTCTAACTGCAAGCTCCGCGGCCTCTGCAGACTGAATGGTATGGATTAGCCTCACACCATCTCATGGGTGCACATCCAGTCCGATCCACACCCACCCTCAGGAGTGCAGAGGTCTTTTGGCCTCAGACTTCTGGTGATGTGACCCCTTCTATCCAAGGCCGGGAAGATTGCCCCTCTGCTAGCAGGACTCTTGGCATCTGTTTCCAAATCCGAAGCCTGGGCTGGCCCCAGACATGGACCCAGTATGGTTCTCGCGTGATCACCTGGAATGGGATTAGTAGGCTCACTGTGTCCCCAACCTTCCGGATGTAGGTCTGCCTCAGGGCCCGAGGTAGCCAGATCTTGGGGTGCTCTGAGTGATGGAAAGAGAGAAAATAGGAGATGGATACTCAGAGAAAGTAAATCCTGCCTCCAGCTGCCTGCTGTGGGTGGGTGGCCCAGGAATCAGTCACCAAATTAAGCCTTTCTTAGAGGGAAGGGGAAGAGCGCTCCCATCATCCTGCTGGGATTTGGGGATGAGGGGTTGGCTTAAGGAACACCCTGGGAATGTTAAAGTCTCAGCAGAAAGAACACTGGAGCGCGAGTCTGACAGTTCTCTTAATTTGTAACTCTCAAATGCTGACTTTCCATCATCTCGAGGCATTCCATCCTGATGGAGGCATTTTCATTTTTCTGTTTATGTACAGACCAGCCTAGTCTGTGTGGTTTGTCTTTCCACCCTTTTCTACATTTGTCCTTAATACCATTCCTTTTATCAAGTCCACTTTCCATGTCAACCCTGACCTCCCAGTTAAGTCTGAGTCTGAGGAGAATGCTCTCCATTCTGCAGGCAGAGTCAACACCCTGGCCTCCCCAGCCGCCCACGGAGACAGCACTGATGTCACTGCAGAGGAAGTGCATGTCTGGGTCCCTTCCTCTGCATGGCCACTCTGCTCCCGGGCTTCTTCCAGTTTGCAGAGGATCATTTTGTACAGATTCTGGGACAGATGAGGTCCACCGCTCATTTCCCCTTGATCTCCCCGGCCTGCCCCAGTGAGAAGTGGAGATTAGATGATGTGTTTGAGCTTCCAGGATGAAGACAGGAGAGGCCTGGAAAAGTGCTGAGTGTAGGTTTGGAGAATGACCAGGTGTCATTTCTCTCCTCCTGGGATGCCTCACACTGTCTCGGCTGCCAAAGCACAAATATTCTACCTGGGCTCCCTTGGAGGCCTGGCTGAGACGGACACCATTTTCTGGCCTTTTCCTGGCTGCTGTCTCTTCCTTTCTCAGGCACAGGCGTTCGCCCGGCTGATGTTATCTTCAGTAGAATGTGATAGTGCTTCAGTTCCCAACAACCCAGGATTCCTGCCGCAGTTCATTCTTGGCAGTTGGAAGAACTTCACCTCTGGTACATTCCTGTGGCAAACAGCATGACTGCTTGATAGTGGATTCCAGACTCTTTGCTAACGCATACTTCTGTGAAAATACTTTCCTGAGCATTCACTATGACATATGTCTGTTTACTTATAGATGAACTGTTGAAATATGTACATTACATAACACAAACATGTAAGTGACGCAACTGAAACAGAGCTTCTACTGTGTCCTTCCTCCAGCTCAATCGGCGAGCACTGTCCAGAGAACTTCACTCCCAGAGTCTCCCCATGATAATCTCAAGGTCGCGAGACCTTTGCAAATGAAGATCAATAGCAATGTACAGTGCACACAGTCCGTTTGATTTCTGCAGTTTCCTTTTGTGCTGTGTGGCTTATGTTTTCACCCGGGCTGTGCCTGTCTTAGACTGCACCTCAGGAATACATGATGAGGGGACTTGATGGGTCTGCGTGCCCGTCCTCCCTGCCCTGCTCAGGGCTTGACGGCCTCAGCACAGATGCAGCAGTCCCAGGCGGCTGAGCGATCCTGCTGTGGCTGCCCTCGGCTGGGCTCTGGTGGCTTGGGAGGGGCGGGGCATGAAGAACAGAAGAAGTGTTTGTATGATGGGCTCCTCTCCTGTGGCCATCTTGGCAAGCAACCAAGGAGTTGAAAACGGGTGGATATGACTTAAGGGTGCTTTGAAAAAGAGGGCTGTACTTGGAAAGGAGGGTCAAAACCTCATCTTGTTGGGCTCGGTTTCCCACTGTTGGGGGAGGAAATAACCCTTCTTACATTTGCTGGAGAGAAGGTGGCTCTGCTGTCCCTGTGCTGCCTCCCTATAGAATGTCGGCGTTGGGAAGGGGCTGTAAGCATCAGAACAAGGAAGCTGGGAGGAAGAGGGCTCCGAGAAAGAAGCCGGTATTCTGGAGACCTCCCGGCTAGCGGTGACGATGTGCCTGGCACCTGAGACTCCTGCCTCCCCATCTAAGATTGTGTGTCTGCAGGACCCATTCTCAGAGCACTAACTGTGTCCTGCCTGCCAGTGTCCACCTGGCACTGAGCACCAGTCAGAGCTCAGAGAGTGGCCTGCCCCTGGAGGGAGGAGGCCCAGAGGGAAAGCAGGGGCTAGACACACCCAAGAACTGCAAAGGGTTGAGGTGGGGAGGGGAACCCAGGTCTTCACGCCTGGCAGAAGTGCCCGCTGCGGCCCGCCCTGCCGAGACCTCAGGTAGGGAATGGGCTGTCATGGGTGGCTGTGAGCTCATGTATGTGTTTCCATCTAGTGTTTCTTAGAAAAACACCTTGGAAAATGTTAGCGTTCTTACATCTGAACCAAAGAGAAAAATGAAAGAAACGGGTTTATGTGGAACATAAGCTAAGGTGGGGGAGTTAGGGGAAGAGGAGCAGACTGGCCCTTGAGATCTAGAGAGGATCCCAGCTGGGCAGAGAGAGCAAGGAAGGAGGCTGCCCGCGAGGACAGTGATCTCTCCTGTCCTGGACGGTTCCGTTGCCGGTTCTCTGCTTATCAGTGGGTTTCCTGACAATGGACTCTGAGGATGAGCAGGTGAGGCCTCTGCTCACAGCAGGCTCCTGGCTCCCTGTGGGAGGGCAGAGGAGGGGCGTGAGGCTCACACAGCTGACTATGTGCAGAGGTGGCAGGAGACAGTGTGACAGCTTCAGACGCCCGGTCAACAGGTCAGCAGCATGCGCTCCAATCACCTCCCAACCCAACCCGGGTGCAATCTGATTCTTTGCTAAGAATGTGAATGCCGGGCTCATTTGAGGCATCTCTTTTCACACATCTGCAGTCAAGCGAGGTGTAAATTGTACTGACCTTGGGGAGGCATGGCTTTCCCTGATGCCCAAGGTCTTTCTCCTCCTCAGATGCCAGGAGGGATGTGAACCAAAGTCTAGAGCCTTTAAGAGCCTAGGTTTTCTAAGAGCAGGTCTGTGAGAGTCACAGTTTGGTTTTCTCCCTTCATAGGGTCTTAGAGAAAAGGCATCTTGAAAAGTCCTTTAAGGGCCTTTGGTTCTGAGCTGGGCTGCTCTTAGTCCGACATTTCTCTCAGACAGAATGTTGTCTAATTCTTTCTCAAAGATTCTTAGAGAAGACTACTTTATTCCTGGCACAGTGGCTCACGCCTGTAATCCCAGCACTTTGGGAGGCTGAGGAAGGTGGATCACCTGAGGTCAGAAGTTCAAGACTAGCCTGGTCAACATGGTGAAACCCCGTCTGTACTAAATATACAAAAATTAGCTGGGCGTGGTGGCGGGCGCCTGTAATCCCAGCTACTTGGGAGACTGAGGCGGGAGAATCACTTGAACCCGGGAGGCAGAGGTTGCAGTGAGCCGAGGTCACACCATTGCGCTCCAGCCTGGGTAACAAGAGCAAAACTTCATCTCAAAAAGAAAAAAAAAAAGAAAAGAAAAGAGAAAACTACTTCAAGTCCAAAGATCTTGAGTTCTGATTAGAAAATTCCTCCTAATGCCTACCCTACTTTTATCCTGCTAAAGTTTATGCCTGGTTTACTATTCTATAATTGTTCCTATCCTCTCATAATTCCCTTTTATGGGATCAGTCTTTCTCCAGCGGCTCCCTAGGGGGCTGTATAGTTCAGACCAATGTTACTAACTATGACCTGGAGAGACAAGAATCAAGATGGAAGCACTGGAGAAGTAGAGAGGGTGTGTGTGTGTGTTTGTATGAGGGTGTATGTATGTGTGTGTGAATGTATGTGCGTGAATGTGTGTGTTTGTGTACATGCACGAATGTATGGGTGTGTTTACGTGTGTGTGTGTGAATGGTGTGTGTGTGTACGTGTGTGTATGACAGTGTGTGTGTGAGAGAGCCTGCATACACATGTACCTATGTGGGTGAAGGGTCACCAAAAGAGGGGGGATGCAGGAGGCTAGCTACGGCTTTGAAACTATCCAGAGGTTTCCAGAAATCCAAGAAGTACCAGGATTTCTTAGAGAAACATTACCAGATGCCTAGGATGTGGCCTTGGTCTACTCAGAAACCTGTCTCGAGGAGTGCAATGGGAAAGGAGTGGGGCAAGAGTGTCACTTTCTTGAAGACCATGAAACTAAGGTCAGAAAAAATAAAAGGACATAGGAACAGGCAACACTTCTTTGAGGAAAAGACTCCACCCCACCCCGTCCCTGTGTTATAGTCGTCCCCCTAGTGCTTGATGGTTTTAGCCCTGGCTCACTGTCTCTCCAACACTGCTCCAGGCATAATTCCTGCTGGTCCCAACACCCATGTTTCCAGTCCCTGTAGGGTCTCTCACATCCAGCCCACCACTCCTCCAATAACTTTGTCCTCTCCTAATTCAGCCACTGGTCCCTGTGGCTATTTCTAGACCAACAGCTACAATCCTTCTATGATCAGAATTACAAGCATCCCACTGTCTCATCACCAGAGATGGCTGTCTAACAAAATGTATGTTACCCCTTCTGTAGTGTAGCTATCTCTGAGAAGTGGCTACCTGGCCACCTTTTGCTGGACGGCCATGAGACTAGTTCTTGCCAATGAGACCTAAGTGGCAATGGTGAGAATCACTTCTGGTCCCAGGCTTTGAAGAAGTTAGATTTCTATTTTCTCCTTCTGCTAGCTGTACGCAAATGATCACGGGGCCCTAAGGAATGGCAGAGCCCCAAGATGAAAGAGGCCTGGGTCCCTGAATTACCACATGGAGGAGAACTATCTGCAGAATACAGTTGTTTTCAGTTCTTACGCTAGTGAGAAAGAGATGTCTGTCATTCCTGAGACCAATTTGTTTCATTCACTAGTATACCTAACTAATATAATCTTTATCCCTTTAGCTCACTTCCTCTAATGCTCCAACACCAGCAATTCTTTGGCACCACTGAGATCTGTGATCCATTGTCCTACCAACCTCTCACTACCTAGCACCCCTTTCATGTCAGCACTTTCTTCACTGTCCAACTTAGATTACATGGTCATTATTATACTCTCTCTCTTGCACTCACTCAAATCCCTGAGTCCTCTTTGACTTCATTGCACTCTCCTGGCAATACCTAACCCTGGTTAAATAAACTTCCCACCCACTCAGTGCCTGTATCTGCACAGAGTAACAGGACTAGGGGAAAATACAAAATTATGTGGAGTTTAACTTGAGGGCCATTAATAGTGACCACCACCTCCAAGTGGACCCTGGCAATTCTACTAGACTTCCCAAGTTCACTCGGTCTCCCATTCTCCTGGATGACTATTGCACACCTTCCCCTTCTAAAACCTCCCTACCTTCTCCCTCATTCTCATTCCCAGTTGTTGATCTTGCTAGTGTCTAAGGCCCACCTACAGTCTATTCTTAACATGGCCAGCTGGAAAAATCCTTAAAATCTACAGTTGGTCCTGTCAGTCCTTACTCCCAGTCCCTGCACTGGCTGTCTCTCTGTCTCGTAGACAAACCAAAGTCTTCACAGCGACCCTGCTACCTCTCAGACTGAAATACTGCCACTGTCTCCCTCTCTGTGCTACAGCCACAATTGCCCCAACCCATAAAGCACACTCCTGCCTCAGGGCCTTTGCAGTTGTTCTCTCTGCGTGGAAAATATTCCCCCAAATATCTGCATGCATTGCTTTCTCACATCCTTTAAACTGCTGCTCAAATGTCACCTTATTAGTGAGGCCCTCACTGAATATTCCATTTGAAGCAGGAAGCCTGCATGCTTCCTACCCGCAGCACGTGTTATCCCCGTCCCTGCATTAGTTTTGGCATAGCATTTCTCACCATCTGACATATTAGATATTTTACTTGTTTATTTATTATCTAGCTCCCTCTGTGAGAATATAACTTCCATAAGGGCAGTTATTTTACCTATTTTGTTCATTTCTGTAATTCTGGCACCTACCCGGCCACCTTTTGCTGGATGGCCATGAGACTAGTTCTTGCCAATGAGACCTAAGTGGCAATGGTGAGAATCACTTCTGGTCCCAGGCTTTGAAGAAGTTAGATTTCTATTTTCTGGCACCTATGATGAGCACCTGGCACATCATAGGCACAACCTAAATATTTGTGGAAGGAAGGAGGAGGAAAGGAATGATGGAAGGAAGGGTGGGAAGAAAGGTCACTCCTAGGCATGAGATTCAGTTTCCCATGTCTGGAAGACACAGAACAGTTCAGACTGAAAGAGCACACACAGTCAGTTGGAGCGATGTTGCTGAAGTCAGCAGATGGGCTCTCCCTCCTCCACCTCAGCATCTCACCTTCTCTATGGGAGGGATGCAGCTTGTTACCCAGCCTCTCCCTGTTTTGGAAGCTCTCCTCTCGCCCCTGCCAAGCTTTGTCTCCAGGACACAGTGCTCAGTGTAGTGCTGAGGACAGACATAGAACTGTTTACCAATGCCGGCCACCTACTCCTGCTTATTTAGCCACGTAGCAGGCTTGCCAAACTAAAAGCTCATTGTTGGCCATTTGCAGTTGGTTTTGATCTTGCAAATTAATTTCTATTTCTGATGCTTGCTCTAGTTCCCATGTTTTCACATGCTTACTGTGATACTCAGTCCCAGAGCTCTCTGTAAGGAAGAGGAGTTAGGAGGAAGAAAGGCTTTGGAGCTCTCAGGTGGCTTAGGGGTCATCTAGTCCAGGCCCATGGCACCCTGAAGGATCTTTAGTAGGGGTTTGTGTGTTTTTTTGTGTATTTTTCCTGGGGCAAGAGTCCACAGCTGTCATTAGATTTTCCTAGGGGTCCATATCCACCAAAAGGTTAAGACCCTGATTTAGTTCAACTCCTCAATTTACAGATGAGAAAATGGGAGTGGATTGACTTGCCTCGGGCCACAGAACAGAGCCAAGATTTGAACTCTTGGAACTTCTTTGTTCCAAGTAGTTAACAGATGCACATATATTTTGGAAAGTATTCAAAGGCATTCTTATTGCCAGTGACTTCTAGGGTACCACTGGGTTGAGCCACTGGGTGCTAGTGGCCCTGAGGCCTGCAGTGTACAGAGCTGCCGCACACAAGAGGGTTTGGGCTGCATTTGCGGGCCCGTGACTGGGGGCTGTCAGGAGCTGGCTGCAGCCAGAGGGGAGAAGCATGGGGGAGATGAGCGCCCTCCCTTGGGGTTTTGGGGAGACCAGCAGAGACAGCCAAGTCGTCAGCAGTCTCAGCTCTCATTCTCCTGCTGCCTGTCACTTATTCTCTGGGCCTTTTAAGGGAAGAAACTGGTTTTCTGCCTCAATCACCCCAGCTTAATATATTAACACTAACTTTTGCTCCCATCTTCAATGGGACAAACTTGGCCAGCTCTCTACCCTTGACATTCAAACAGTTTCTGGAAACCTGGCCTCTCCCATGAGGATAAGAAGCAGAGAGTATCTGCTGCACAACCCTATGGAGGCAGAACGCAGCCTTCACCTCTCACTTGGAAATATTTGATCATTTATTTACGTCTAGTTTGACCTCTTCCAAGGCACTCTGGATCATCTCAGCAATCCTTTCAACTACCCTGATAGGGAGATGTTACGAATCACCATTTTACAGAGCGAAAATGGAAACTAAGCAGTTCAGTGACTTGTCCAAGGTCACAGGGCTATTAGAGGCAGCACTAGGAATTGAGCCTACAGCTTTGCCTCCAAGTCTAGTACATCTTTTCCCCTGTCTCTTCCTCTTCCTGCCCTGGGAGTCCACGTGTTTCTTGTTTGTGGTCTTTTCATCCTCTTCACTCAAGAATTCCAGGTGAGCGCCACGAAGTGGTTAGCTACAGAGGCCTCAGTCAGGGCATTCGGGGATGGGTGGCAGGAAGCTGGGGGCTGGAATTCGTGCCAACCACCTCCTCACTTGGGAACGCCTCTTTGCTGAGAGGCGCACAGAGACCATCGTGAAGGGGAAATCGAATGCTTCTCCCAGACGAGCTCCACCTCTGTGGAGCTCAGACTCTGAGGGGTCAGGATCTCCCATGGGAGCATCTGGAGGTTGGAGGAGGTCCTGACCCCGTGGCACTGCCCAGCAGAAGGCCGAGTGTCACTGTGCTGCCCCACTCTTAGCCTCCCCATTGCCATAGCTTTTGATTTCCCTGTTCCTTCTGCAGACAGCCACTCTCTCTCACCCCTCAGTCCCTTCCTGACTGGCCATTAGTATATCAGGTCCTCCCGTCCTTATGACAATTTTTTAAAAGGTAAAAATATAAACAGATCATTTTTAGTCACTGTAAAGTGCCACCAACATCATCACTGACTTCTCAGCTAAAACACAAAAACTTAGCAGAGACATTTGAGCAGCAAGTCAGACTCCATCAAGGACAGGGGCTGGGAGCCCCCACGAATGATCTCCAGCCTAAGCACCAATCCTATAAAGTCTTTATCTCAGCAAAAAACCTGAGGTGCCGCCAGGAAAGTGGCAATGTCCTCCCCAACTCCCACCACCCGGCCTCGCCAGCCTCCCCACCCGCCATGGGTCACCTTCTATAGGGGGCAGGAGCTGGGGAGTGGGGCTGCCAGCCCCCTGTCCAGGTGAAGCCTGGGGTGGTTCAGCATCCGCTGGGCTGACTTCTTTCACCTTCAGCTTGGATCCTACGGCCACCTCCGGAGCTGTGGCTGCCTCCATGCTGGGCCTTCCCAGAGGCTGAGCTCCAGCTCTAGATTTTCACTGCTGGTGATGAGGGAGGGGCTGAGCACCTGCTCCCAGGCTGGCCTCCCGGGTCCCAGCCACAGGGTTACGTAACTGGGCTGGCCTTCCCCACTCAGCTACGCCCTGCAGAAGGGCTGAAGTAGGGGTTGGGGGAGAGAGGAGGATCAAAGAGCAGCCAAGAATAGCCCCAGGAGGAGGACTGAGGTGGCCCGGTTATCTCGAGAGAGAGATGACACCCCCCACAGCACCAGGCGGGGAGGGAGAGCTTGAACACAGACCATCCACAAGGGACCTCTGATTTCTGTCGGGAGGGTTGAGTGACATCTCTGCTCCTGACCTCCAGTTCATCCCGCAGGGCATTCAGGTCCCAAAGAAGGGGCCCAGGATCAGCTGACTCACAGCAATACCTGAACTGCTCTTTCTCCCTCTGCTCCCACATTCAATGAGTTGTAAAGTCTTATCAACTCGACCTTTACAGGGCCTGTCCCATCCTCCCCCGCTCCCCAGGGGGCAGCGGGCACAGTGCAGTGGTAGGTGGAGACTGCACTCACACTGGCTGCCCGGGCACCACTTGGGGCTCTGTCACCAACTAGCTGTGTGACTCACAACACATCACAGTCTCTCTTCAGTCTGTTTCCTCATCTGTAAAATGGAGATAATTATAACCGTAGGGTCGTTGTGAGGATTAAAGAGGTAATCTCTGTAAAGTGCTTAGCAGAGTGTACCCGACTAAGTGCTTGATAAATGTAAGCTATTTTTAGGTCAGGCCAGCACTTCCCCCTTTGAGAGCTGTCAATGGCTGCCTTGCCTATGAGATGAAGTACAAATAAAGGGAGAGGCAGCAGTGGTAGAGGGAGGCGAGCTCAGAGGACCTGCGTGTGACTTCTGGCTGTACCACTCACTCACCAGCTGGGACTCTGGGCAAATCACCAACTTGGAGTCTCAGGTCCCAGCCTGTGAAACAAGGGATGATGCCATGATTGTGTTGAGGATAAAATGATACAATCTATAGGAAAGTGGCCAGCTCACAGCAGGTACTAGTCACATTAGTAGGATTTCCAGACTTAGCAAACCATCTTTCTATACGTGTTGTACATGCCATGGCCACTGCCGCTTTCCTGTCGTACTCCCACCTTCTTATCTCCAGAAGCTAGCATCCCTCTGCATTTTAAAATGCCTTAATTTTAGAGCAGTTTTAAAGTCACAGCAAAGTTGAGTGGAAAGTACAGGGTTCCCGCAGCCCCTACTTGTCCCTGTTATTTTTTTCATGAAAAAAAAAATGGGTGCAGTTGAATGAATGGACTGACTTCTTACTCATTTTGCCCTCAATTTTGGGGTAAATGGTAAGATCCCAGGAGCCTGTGTTATCTTGGGGTGACAGAAGCTCACCCTCTTTGTAACTGGTATAGGGGCTGAGGTCCAGGACAATCTGTTTATTGGGGCCTTGGATGGCCTATGGGGCTGGTTTGGTTGGCAGAAGACTGGGTTTTTGCCATATCAGAACTAGTTTGAAGGTCTTCCTGAACTATTTATCTTGCCTGACCCAGCCAAGGCCCCGTTAAGTGTGGACAGTCCCCTAGCCAGGAGACCCCAAATACACCCCCTTTTACACAACACGTAACCCATCTTTTGGTGAGGAAATTGGCCCAGGCTGAATCTTAGCCCTTTGTTGGAACGAAGGTGTAAATAATCAACTTTAAGATGCAGGTTCCTAAGCTTTGCCCATCAGAAAGTCTAATTCAATAGGTCTGGGGTGGTATCCAGAAATCTGCACCTAAAAAAACCAACCTAGTGATTCCGGCACAGGAAATCTTAGAATACCATATTAGATAGAATTCCTTCAAATAAAACGACCTTAGACAATGTCCTGATATAGAAACTCTCCCATCAGATGGTGGCCTCAGAAACAAGGGCTTTGCCCTGTCATCTTCAGACCAAGATGCTGGAGTATTATATGGAATATTGCCCCAGGCTAGCAGGGTAGGATGGCTAATGGTTCCAGACGGGTGGGCAGGAACTTCTCTTAAACGCTTTGCAAGGTCCTTAAATGAAATGGACAAGAAAGGGCCAGTACGAACAGCAAGAGAAATTTAAGAGGGGCAGATGGGAAGTTACAAAGCTGAACTTCTCAGTGCTGCCAGGTGTCAAACCTGCTGAAAATAACACAGAATTCAAGGAGTAATTATCTGTTGCTGTGTCCAGAAGGAAGAGTGTAGCAACTGAAACCTGTGAAGGTATGTGGGGTGGGTGCCTAGACTTTCTAGGCACTGGTCGTACACACACCCACAGGAGGAAGATCTGTATGAGCACAAAGAGCAAGAAAATGAGGTAATTTACGGCTCACATTTTGTGAGCCGTTTTCCTCATAGATGACCGAATACATTTCATGCTATAAATGTACAGTCCTGGCTCTTTAACTGGCCTGTTCTCTGATTGCTAGAGTCTGATTCTGAAGCTAGAAAACTGGAAAATGTATCATATTAACAAACTGTAACTTAGTCATTTCAGTAGGTTAGGTAACAAAAGTCCAGTCTGTTTTATTTTTAACCCAAATATTCCAAATATACAGAAAATTACCAGTACAAAGTTAAACACATTCAGATTTATTTACACAATGCTAAAGAAATTTGAGTTTTATTTCCATTTTGTGGAATTTTATTATGGGGCCTGGCTTTAATGTGTAACTGATGTGGGTCACTGAAACTCGATTATCCCACCTCACATGCAATTTTCTGTCCCAAGGGAATAGAAAACTTGGGTTTTTAGGGCACATGCAGTAATGATCTTAATACTGCTTTACACTTTCGTAGGAAGGCAGCTGTCCCACAGCTTGGGGAAGGACCACATGCTCAGAAAGGGAACAAGAGAGAGGGTTGAACAACAGGCACATGGGGACCCTGAGCATTTCTGTGCACGAGGAAAAGGAGAATATAACCAAAACCTCCTCCCTAGAGGTCCAAACACAGGAGGTGGGCCAAATCATCAGGGAACAGTCAGTCACCCACTTGTGGCTGAGGGCATGCGGAGGATGAGAACTACATTAAGGATCTGGGGCATAGCAATAAATCATTACCATGTACACTATACAGTTCATATATGTATATATGTACACACACATATATATATAAAGGTACAGATTAGTTTGTTATTCCTTATAAACAAGTACACTTAAGAATGTACTGGTGTGAAGAAATGCATACTGCAAGTTGTTTCGAATTAATTTTCTGACTCTTGTTATTGTAATGCAACCTAACCAAGAAATTAACATGCTCCTGCTCTTTCAATGATGCTTCATGAGGGGAAGGCCTGGGCTCTGCTAGGGCAGGATGGTGTTCCTAGAGCTACCTGAGCTGGACAAACCCGTGGCAGATGGAACAGAAAGTCTGGCACCTGCTGACTCTGGCCCTCCCTGTCACTTCATCACACAGCAAATCTTAAAACTTTGGTTTTTTTTCAAAGGACACTTAAGTCCATGTTCATTTTCCTGCTTCAGGGAAGATGGCAGCAAAGTTGAAAGCCGAACCCCTTCCTATTTTAGCAGTTCCAAGTATCCTGGACGAATATAGGGGCGAGGGCCTACCCTGACAGTGAGCAGGATGCACACTCTAGGTCATTGTGGACAGGCACGGAGCTCTTGAGAGCGCTGCTCAAAGGAAAGGGAATCTCTACCTGGATGGTTGGCCTGGAAACTAAATAATGACTAATGCCAGGCCAGTCCTGTTACCCTAGGGTGGGTGTGGATGGCCCTGGGCTCCTCTCCGTATCCTGGTATCGTGACGAAGGTCATGAGAGAACCAGCTCTGGTTTACAGACTCGAGGCAGGAGCTGGAGGCGGTCAGCACATTACCAGCCTGTCAGGGATGAAAGGCAGCTTGGGCATGGAGAGGCCCAGAGGCAAGCCTCAGAGCAAGAGAGAGGAGGTGGGAAGTCCATTCAGAGGCAGACACCGATTCCAAGTTCCAGTTACAGCTGATCTATGGACGCTCCCGAGCCCACCCCCAGAACTGCCGCAACTCTCCAAAGGCTTTTATTCTTTGAAATAGAGTTGCCGTTGAATTAACAGCCTACAGGAGAGACCAGCCTGGGCTGTGGTCTCACTAAAGCCCAATGCCCCCTTAGGCCCAGAGCAGAAAGAAGAGTGAGTTCCCTACCTGGATTTAAGAACTCGGACCACTTTGGACTGGTATGTTCAATCTCTCTTATAATGCTAAATTCCATTGCTGAAGCCTCCAGAAATGATCTCTTCTGCTACATCAAGCCTGGGAGTTTACACAATGATACACTATGTTTTACCTTCAAAGACAATGTTCCTAACATGAGTAGGGCAAATTAGAAATCTGGTTTTTTTTTTAAAGCTGTAACGGATTTGGGCTGTCTTACTCTCTGGCTGAGGACATACATTTGTGAGTGAACAGGATGATGAAGAAAGCTAACTAGCCAATAATGAGAATGAGTCAGGCTGGCTGTCAGTCTTCAAACCAATGGAGCTAGCCAGCCTGGGGTGGAAACCAGGGTGGGGAGGTAGACCCCTCAGTGGAGAGTCCACTTCTGCACTCTTGAGCAGTGACCCTCAGTGAGGGGAAGGGCAGTTTCTGCAAACACATAATTCCCATTACTTTTGTTTTCAGCCATGAAAGACAGGAAAATACAATTTTCTGTTCACCAAGGTGGCAAAAAGGTGCTAAATACTGCTCGGAAACAAATGCCACTGATCCCTGTCATAAAGAACAGCAAGTCATCTACATGAAGGCTGCCCTGCTCAAAGTGGTCAGCACTCAAATGCATAAAGATTTCCAAGAGTCCTGAAGACAGCCAGCCAGCACTGCTTATCACACACACGGGAACCCTGAACAACTGACTCCATCCCAAGAACATTGTGAGGTTCAAATGACATTATGTGAGTGAAGGTGCTCTGAAAATTTGCTAAGTTCCACAGAAATCCCAGATATCATTATAAGCGAAGAGCTTATAACAGCCATTACCAATGGCTAGCTCCACTGGTAATCGTATATGGGTTAGAGAAGAATATTAAGTTTCTTACGTCTTAAAATGAGTAAGAGGATTACCATGTATTGGTGCATCTACCCACAGTGAGTACATGCTGGGAGAAAGGTAAGTGGTGTAAACAGTTCTTTTATGGGCACCAAATCCACTTTGGGCAGGAGGGAGGGTAGGACAGAGGGTGACGCTTTCATTTGTGAGCTGGCGTATCTTTGGAATTATTTTTAATTTTAAAACCATGCAAAATGAATGAGCAAAAAGACCAGTGCACTCCAGCCCTAACCATATTAATTATCTTCGCAACAACTGCCTTAACTTTATTTTCTAACGGAAGCTCCCTGACTCATTTAATTCTACTGCAGTTTCAATGTCTCTAAAAGTCTCCATCCACTCTCTCCCCCACTTTCCACGCAGCTGTTAATCCATTCTGGGGAGGAGAGAACTTAGCCATCTGCTCACATTCTGACGAAAGTTAATTTGGCACTTAAAAAAAAAAAACCAAAAAAACCTGACTTTCTAGCCACAAAATAAACTAGTAGCAAATGGTATCTACCAAAGAATGTCCCAATCATAATCGCTGGGAGAAACTGTGACCCGCACAGTAGCTACAGTAAGACCAAAAACTTTCCATACTATATTCCTATATAGCAAATATTCAAGCTGTATTAAAACGAATTATTGCAGCTTTCCATTACTATATGGGCACCCCAAAATTCACCCAACAACATTCTATAATTTATTTAATTTAGAGAAGTATCAAATGGAAAACTTTTTTCAATTCAAAATAAGAAATTAATGTATCACACAAAGCATCATCTAGACTGGAAGTGTGTTTTCAACTGGTTCCTCCAAAATTTTCGTATCAACAAATTACTTGGTGAGGCCAGAAAAAAGTGGTGAGAAGGAGAGCCTGGTAATGAAATTCTAATTTTTTAAGTCTATACATCTGAAAAAATCTCTAGTCCTGGTTCCATGTACAACAGCAACCTAAGCAGCAGCAGACAGGCAGCCATTGACATGATTCAGCAATGAGCCACATGACAGTTAAAAAGGGAACATGGAAGACTGTGAGGTTCCGTCTTCGGGGGGGCCACACTGTGTACCCGACAATCAACTCTAGGGAAGAGATCAGTCAGCCTGGGCAGACTTCCAGCTAAGTCTGTACCCTGTCCTTGAGTAAGTCCACTGGCACACACACAAAGCACAGCTTGAAAGATCTCAGAAGAAGCAAGAGTTTCTCTTTTAATAGGTGCTAAATCTAGTCAATTCTCTGCTGCTCCCTTCTTCCTGCCCCAAGTTAAAAATATTGCTCTGTAAGTTTTCCTGATTTACTCTGTGGGAAGCACATGTTTAACTTAGTTGTCAAAGGGCAATTAACAAGGGTATTGCCTAATTAAACAGGGGAAAAAAAATCACTGTGGTCTGTGGTCTCTGAAAAACACAAAAAAAGGAAGTGGGATCTGTGTGAGGAGCTGGTGTGCAGTGTTCTTGGAGTAGGACTGTCCCCAGATGGAGAAAAGCCGGCCAGGCTGTGCCAGCCTCTGCAGCCTGTTTTCATCTCTACAGCTGCTTCGCCTCGCCAGCAGAGCCCAGGGATGGTACCAAGTACACTGTGAGAGCTGATGCTGGAGTTGGCAGATGCCCTGGGGCAGGTGCCATGCAGAACACACAGAAGTGAGGTTAGTGAAAAGGTCCCTTCGAATTCCATTTCATTTCCCTTAAAAAACAAAAACAAAAGCCCATACTTTGCAAAGAGACAGGACAAGAAATAAGAAGTTAAAGAATTTAAAATGTCCCCCTTCTTCTCAGAGCCAATTGTAAAAAAGTGCTCAGGGTTCCCCACCCCCACCCTGCATTTCTTTCATGTAGGTCCTTTTGGCTTTGATGGAAGCAGCAGAAACAGAGCTGGGTCCCTCGCAATGGGAAATTTATTTCCCGAAGTTGGAGCCACAGGGAGTGTAAGAGGTACTGTGGTTCCACCATTCACGCTGGGTCCAGCTCCTCTGAAGAGCTATTCCAAGAGGTCCTGAAAAAGACATGCACCATATTACCAACAGACCACAACACTCCTATTTCAAAAGCAATCACCTAGTTTTTGGGCTTGCCAAATATTATAGTCATTAAGTTGCCTTGGCCCTGGCATATCTTGATCACGAACAGAAGACAAATTTTTTTTTCTTGTATTTTTTTTTTGTGGGGGGGGTGGGGTGGGTTACTACCATTCAAGAAGAAATAGCCTCACCTCATCTGAGTCGTCATGATAACCACTTTTATTAGTGTGGGAGGCTGTGTCCAAAGCATCCACACCATCCATGCCATTGGCCTCTGCATGCTGCTGCAGCACAGAGTATCGATGCACCAGGAACCTGTGAACAGAAACCTCCTTAACACTCGGGTGGCACACAG